CACGGAGGAAAACCAAGGAATGTTTTCCACTTTTAGCTGTGTACCCAGCAAAAGCTCAGGGTTCTATGATCACCAGAATCACATGCAGTGCTACAGAAGGGTTACCTGAGCTGGAACTGAGCAGGTAGATAGAATTCAGCAAGTGGAGGACAGAGGGAAAAGATAGCCGTCTGCAGGAATGGTTTTACAAAAGCACCATGGTGGAACAGCAGCCATGGATTTTGGAGCAGCTGAATGAGGCATGAGGGAGCAATCTGCAGTAGAGAACTGGCACCCTCTGCAGTGTCGTCCTGACCGCCAGAAGCAATGACCAATTTCCTGAGTTACTTCTCAACACAGCTCAAGGTCAAGAATATCTTTCCCCAGGAAGGGGCAAAGTAGAAGTGGGGGGTGGGGGTGGGGACGCAGTGCAGAGCAAAGAACAAAAGAGGTCTTTTGGTCTGGGCAGGTGAGGGCTGGATAAGACATACAGGATGCAAGGGAGGCCGTGCAGTGTCTTTACAGGCACCCAATCAGGAAAAGGCTGAATTCCCATCTGTCTGCCTGGGCCTGGCAAGGTCTGGCTGTGATCTCTCCAGTGAACCATCACTGGTAGCTGTACAGGTGGCTTATACCTATGGAGACTCACGTGGCCTCCGCGTTTATTGTCTGTTCCCTCTCAGTGGAATATGATATCCATAAGAGCCGGGGCTTTGCTGGTTGCTGTGTCATAGCATCTAGAATAGTCAGAGAGCCGGCACGTAACATTTGTTCGATGAATAAATGAACTAATTAATGAGCAAATCATTTATCTGTAATAAACCACTTTTTAGCACCCACAAAGATATCTGAGAATATGATGTGCTCATGACAACTTACTACCAGAGGTGCTGACTGGCACAGTAATAATAGTAATTGCTGCATAACAACTCACCGTTGGCCAGTGGCCTTAGTTGGCCTTCGACATCAAGACTCAACAAATATAACTGTTTTGCCTAAGGTCAGTGGGTGGGAAGAAACAAAACTAGGATCCAAACCCAGGTCTTCTAGCTCCACAACCCTGTTATTCCTACTTCCTTCTTCTTTTGCATAACAATTTCTGGATTCTTGATCAGTTCTCAGCTACAGATAAGTCCATGTTTGAAGCTGCAATGTCAGTGTCCGAGCTGTGGAAAAATCTGTCGATCGGGGGTTTCTTGATTTCCCTGTGGAGGAAGAAGAGCTGGTCTTGACAGGGACCTGGGCAGATGCTGGGCGCTCCACTAAGGACATTCTGCATGTTGCCTGCTTTCATCTTCATGGGGACCCTGCGAGATCAAGACTAGCACTTAGTTCTATAGATGAGTCAGTAGAATTTTGAAATTCCTTTGCTTTTCTCTGAGTGCCAAATTTCTGAACCACCAAACAGGAATTGGTAATCTTAGTATTCAGAGATGGTGGGGAATAGCTGGGATAAGCTTGAACAGGGAACACATGTGCTTCCAAGGAAAAAGTCTTGTGGGCAAAAATTGCCAGGTCTCGGTGGTAGAAGATTTAATTTCTCCACACACATTTTTTCCTATTAACAAAAAATAGTTTCAGCTCTGAATGCTCCAATCTTAGCAGCACAGGGTTTGTGTTGTATGGACACCCGGAAATAGTTGTTGTTATTACAAACACATAATGAAGGAGCTCAGCTAGATAACCTACTACGAATTTAACTCTAGCCTAGAATTATAGTGTGCAGTGCACAGTACAAGGTGTGATCAAAGAAACATGGTGAATGTTTAAAATTTTAAAATTATAGTAAAAGATACATTGTCATTACTCTCCCTCAAAATACTCTACTTCATTTCAAATACATTTATCTCATTGTTCTTGCTGGTTTCTGAAACTGTTCTGGGAATTTTTCTGGTGAGTGTCTTCATAAGATGTGATAAAAAATATGACTGCTGTAAACCAACCGACATCCAATGGAAAGGGAAGCTTGTAAAAACATTATGAGGTGTCCTCACCCGCCTTATTCACTGGATCTAGCACTGTGTAACTTCTGACTCTTCACCAAAGTCAAGACTATGAAAGGAAAATGTTTGAATCAATTCAAACTATTGAGGCAGCCACACAATGCAACTAAAGACTGAGGAAAGAAGACTTCCAGAATTGCTTCAAACAGTTGCAAGAATGATGGGATGAATGTGTTTGAAGTGAGGGGGAGTATTTTAAGGGCAATTAAGGGCAATGCATCTTTTACTGAGATGCACTTTTAAAATTTAAACGTTCGCCGTACATTTGATCATCCTCATGTATATCAGGAGTGATAAGTATTAAGTTCCAGATGACATCATCCTTCTCTGTAGTGAAAACAAACAAGGCTTGTCCTGGGTCCTAGGCCTGGGGGTGGGGTGACGTTAGGGTCCTGGGTCTGTTTCACACCGACAAACTCCATGAAACCTGGCAGAAACGAGGCACAGGAGCCCCCCTTGGGTAGGGCCATGGAGAAGACATGGTGGTAGACCAGACAGACTAGATAAGGTCCAGTCCAGGGTGTGAGGACAAATGGCAGATAGATGGGGGGTGGCACTGCAAAGGGTCGGGATACAGTGGATAGCACCAAGCTCTAGGAATGGCGGTCAACATAAAACCACCCACAGGACCAGCGGTGCTCAGTGGCTGGGTCATCAAATCTCAGCCATCCGTGTTCAGGACACCAGCTGGGAACATGATGCTGGCTAGGACCCTTCCTCACAGGTCCTTATGGAGTGGGAGCTGGATGGATGCCCTAGTGCAGATCCACATGGGTAGGATATACATCCAGTCCTTCCAAGTTGTATAGCCTCTTGCCCTATTGTGGCTGGCCTGGCCCTAACCCTAACCCTCCAGAAGCCCCAGCTCTAGTCCATGCATCATCTGCTTCCTCAAATGTTTCACCCCAACGTCCTCACTGTGGATGGAGCTCTCAGAGTCCTGAGACACACCTGTGGCTATCACCAAACTGATCCTCCAGAGAGCACATCAACTCAAAGTGGGAAGTCCCTTCCTCTTTTCATGTCTCACCACCCTCCAACTTCGCATTTGCCTTTCGCCATCACAAGGCCCCCAAACACAAAAGCAATACTGGAAGAACACCCATGCATGCACCTTAACTGCAGAACTTGCCACCTACTTCTACCCTAGATCCCTCCAGACTCATCCAGCACTATGGTCCTCACAAAGCCAGAGACGCAGAGCCACCAAAGTCCTCTGCTCCTCACTCTTTTGGCAAAACACCCAGTGAGTCTAAAGGCATTCTTACCTTGAAAACTTCTCCCAACTGTGCCCCATCTACAGTCTTCTACCATACCACATGTCTGTGACAAGGCCACCGCATGGAGTCCTGGCATCTGAGAGTTCCCAGCATACTCTTCCCAAAATTCGAACTGGATCAGGAACTCCTTGTCCTTGGAGGCCTCGAGGATGCCCCGGGAGATGGATGGCCTAGTTCTCATCAGAAATGTAAGGCTCCAGGAGCCAGACTTATGGTTTGGATCAAAAGTTTCCCCTAAAAGGCTCATGTGTTCACAGGTGGGGCTTTTGGAAGGTGACTGGATCAGGGGGCACTAAGCTCATCAGTGGATGAACCCATTGATGACTTCATAGCGGAACTGCTCTGAGGAGGTGGAGCCTGGTTGGAGGATGTAGGTCCCTGGGAATGTGCCTTGGAAGGGTATAATTTCCTTTGGCTCTTCCCCTCTTTCTCTGCTTCTTGGTGGCAATGAGATGAACAGGTTGCTTCCTTACACTTTATGCCATGATGTTTCTGCCCTGAAGCCAGCCAACCATGGACTGAAACCTCTGAAAGCACAAGTCATGAGTTACCCTTTTACCCTTTAAGTTGTGGGTGTCAAATATTTTGTCCCAGTAATGGAAAATCTGACTAATGCATGAGCCTTGCTCTCTCCTCTGTCTCCCTTTCTCCCTCCTGACCTTAATCTCCAGGTTAGAGAATTTGACCAGGGTCTGTGGATGGGCTGCAAAGTCTGTGGACTATCAACATTGTGTGCAAAATATTGGGCATATCTGTGTTCCCTAGAGACACTCCCTACTTTCCCACTGGCTCCAAAGTGTCTGTGACCCAGGCTCAGGAATCTTTCAAGCAGTGTCTCTTCAATGCAGCTTGTTGGAAGGTTTCAAACACTTTTGATCATGATACATGGTAAGAAATATACTGTAATTATATGTAAAATGGAATCACTTTTTCACAAAATTGTTCTCAGTATGTATACTCTAGTTCTTAGTTGTTTAATCATTTCTTTGAGTTGGGGATATAGCTCAGTAGTAGGGCACTTACTGAGCATGCATGCATGAAGCCTTGGGTTCAATTCCCAGTACCTTGGAGGTACGAGGGGAAGGAGGAAGAAAATTATTCCTTTTTATTTTTTTAATGCTGGCTAAATTGGTTTAACAATCTACTCACCAATAGAATTTAATCTGGAGTTTGAAACCATTGCCTTTGTGGTCCTCTCCTACTTTGGGTGCCCTTGATTATTTTTTGTCTTGAGTTCCATCTGGATTACAAGCTCTTTGAGGGCAGGAACCATAACTTATACAGTTTTGATACCACCTGCAGCACATAGCAGCCACCTTAGAAATGTTTCTTGTTCACTAAAATAAGAAAACTGCTGGAATAAATGTGAGAAAGCCCTAAAACAAAGGTTTCTCAGGGAAGCAAACAACAACTATCTCATGTATAGAATGTACAAATAATTATTTGATGGAACAGAATTCACTGTTACCTGGGGATGAGGTGGGGTGGCATCTATGGTGCTGGTTCAGTGCAACCACTGCTGAGTGAGTCTATCTTCTAGCGTGGGAGATACATGGACTAGTGCAGTAGGGAATATGCTGACCTGAGAATAGCAGAGCAGAGCAATACATGCTAAAGTGGTCTCCTGCTCAGTAGCAGTAGGAGGAAAAGCCAAATTAGCAATGGGATAATATTGCTTTGTGAAAAACAGAAACAAAAACAAACAAACAAACAAACAAAAACCCACCAAGGTGAGCAAGTAACTTTTTTATTATTAAATCTATCAGTCAGCCTTCAAACATTTGCTGTTCTCTGCTATGTTAGTGCTTCTCCCAGCAGAGAACTTTAACTGTGTGTCTTCTTCTCTCCAAAGCTTGACAAACAAGAGGATTGACAAACACTGACAGATCAGAGTGATCTGGGGTGAAACTGGTGTGCACTCAAAGGGAGGGACTCAGGAAGAGAAAAAGGTGCTAAAGAGGTGAATTCATCACTCTAACTCAAAGCTAAAGCCCTAAAATTGTCTTGGCATAAACAATACTGCCGGAAACCAAGGGCTGGGTCAGCTGGAGGAGCTCTGTTGGCCACAGTGATGGCCTCAGAGGGAGAGCAACTGCCTCACTGGCTTGTGTGTGCAGGATGCCGGCAATGTAGACGGGATGTTGCTCTGTGTTACTCTCACCTTGGCCTGTGGAGCCCCCACCTCAGAGGGGGAGCCCCTGTCCTGCCTGGCACAGTGCCCACTGCAGGGCTAATAGGCCAGCTGATCCCCTCTTGAATGTCCCAACCTGGCCCCCATCACCCATCACGTACAGACTAGAAGACGTGGGACTCAGCATCTGTAGCCTCTGAGGTGAGAAGACGGTCCCTGCCCATGCAGCCACGGTCACAGAGGCATGGAGACTGTGTGCCTTTCAGACTCAGGACACAGTATGCACTTGGTGAGTGGTGATTGCTCTGGTTTGAGTTTTCTTCACCCCACTGATGGATTGATGTGACCTTCCTACGTTTGCCTCTCTGGCCTGCCACACAGTGGTGTAAAGGCCTAGGGGAAAAGAGATGCAGCTAAATAAATAAGGCCCAGCCCTGTGACGGCCAGCATCCTGTGCATACTCGGTCCTGCTCATGGGACCAATGCAGCAATGGAAAGAATCCAGGCTCCAGGATGGAGTCAGTTTGGAAAAGCACATGCGTTTCATTTTTCAAGTGGAATTTGAAAGCACACCACACCAAGCCCTAACCCTAAGCCTAGGCACAGCAAAGCACATTGTACTGCCTTCACCAGACAGCACTGCTTCGCCCCCTCCTACCTCACACCCCGTGATGACCCCTGAGCTCAGGGTGATCTGCCAGTCAGCCTAAGGGCAGCAAGGAGTGAGCCACGTGGAGGACCCCTCATCTGTATCCTCCTGGCTGTGTGCTGCAGAGGCAAAGTTTCTTTCTGTTCTCTGTACTCCAAAAGCACGAGAACAGGAGAAAATGTTTGGCTGGGCATTCTTTAATAAAACAAAATAAACTCGGCTACAAGTCGTTTTGAAACTGCTCTCCAGGGAGCAACTGCCTGCCTGTGACACACTCTCATGAGACTCATGCTGTTAAAAGGAGGTTTAAAATTCCCACCCTACAGTAAATGCACTCTTCAATCACTGTGTAGTGAAGACATGGCCGGAGAGCCGCCATACAAACCCACTGCCCAATCATAGGAACTCTCGCCCTCTTCCCTTCCCACCACCGCCTTTCAATCACACTATACTTCCCTTAGGTTGAGGGCCTTTGTTTTTTTTTTTTGTTGTTGTTGTTTTCTGATGCATTTGAGCGCAGCTGACTCCCTGCACTTTGGACAGTTGCGCGCCATTCAGCACAAATCACCCGGTCACAGCAACTGCCACCAACTTGACCCATTTCCAGAAGTAACAGGACACCAGCCTCACCACCTGACAGTACTGGGCCTCTGATAGCCTTCTCATCCTTCCAGAGAAGGAGGGGAGAAGGAGGAAACACCTCCTGATCACCCAGCCCGCTGCTCTTCTGCCGCTGCACCCTTTCCATCCGGCCACAGGGCCACCTACGACAGGTGACTGTTCCAACCTCTTCTGCAATTCCATGAGAAGGTTTGAGGTATGGGGATGTGTGCAGAAGGGTCCTTTGTGTGCACGTTGCTCTTCTTTGTTGCCAGTCCCTTTCTTTGTCTGAAGCACGGTGCTGTCATCTTGGGACATGAGGAAGCGGCCACTCCCTAGGGAGAGCTGGGCGGTGTACTGAAGGAGCCGCAGCCCCCAAAGACTGAATGGGCCGCTTCCCTCTCTGCTTGGTCTGTGTGAGAGAAACAAACTATCTTGTTTGCTTTGGGCTATGTTGGGTTATCTGTTCCTTGGAGTGGAATCCCTCCTACACCCCTTGCTACAACAGCTCTGTCCCAAGACAGAGTTGCCGCCTGGAGATGATTAGCTTTGAGCATATCTATTGTCTAGATCCTATCTACAAGGTCATTCCTCAAAGTGAGACCATAAAAATCCAAGTCATTGCCAAATAGCCTTCAAAAAGTTTTCAGAAAAGCAGAGGAATCATTTTACACCTTCCTCTTTCAGTTCTTTCAGGAGCAAGGCCTCTGTCCCCGCTCCACACAGTACCCTAGAGACACAGCTGTCAGGGGGGCAGGCTGGACTCTCACCCAGGGCAGGCTCCCAGTTTCACAGTGGAGAGAACAGGCTATGCAAAGGTGAGGGAGACCTGTGAGGGAAGCACAGGGACCCATGGGGCACAGTCTGGGCACTCAGCCTGGAGTGCTGCAATTGCCATGCAAGCAGAAACCCATTAACGACTTACACCATCTTTCTGTCCTGCTTCGGTCAAACTTCTTCACAGGGACGGCAGAGATGTTTGTAGGGTACGCAGATAGCCAGGGCTGGTCAAGGGAGAAACGTGCACACCATCTGGAAGATGGACTGCTAGAGGATTCTGTAAGGCTGGTGCAGCATCATTGGGTACTGGGTCACCCCTACTCTGGAGGCAGCAGCTGGGCCCATGACATTTTGGCTCCTCCAGTCTTTCTCCAAGTGCCAGATGCAGTCCAGCTTCAGGGTGGAGGGCACCAATACCTCCTGTCCGTGTGCTGGGGACAGACACAGACACTGTCACTGAGGGAACCTCTTTGCCGTGTTTTATCCCCTCAACTGCCCAGCTGATGATCTACAAAGATTCACACCTGACACATCTTGCAGAGATGCCTCAGGAACAAGGCACATCAAGTCATCACTTTCCTCTGATCCCCAAAGATGCCCTCCGCTTGCAGCTCCCTACTGTGAATCCCTCCCATTGATGCTTTATTCCTTTAGACTCATGATCATTCTGCTTCCCTTTTTGAGGTCCTAACTAGCCCAGTAGCAGCTCTGTGAAGTTCCAGGAAAGACTACAGATTGTTCCAGATTAAAGAAGACTATGGACAGGACCAGTAAAGGCAGTGAATGGTAGTGGGACATCTGGTGGACCTTATATTATTAGATAGTAGTACTGAATGTGAATAGTTGCTGAAGTTTTTCAGGGTGAATGGCCAGGATGTGTACAACTTCCAGCCAAAACTCTGAGTAACAACTATACCTGGAGAAGCAGAAGGCAGGATGCCCACTCGAAAACCCATATGAAAGGTGCACAGGGTACCTTTTACTTGTCTTGCCATTTTTCTGAGGAATGATTTTTTTTTCCAAAATAAAAAGTAAGGGGAAAATATCTAAAAGTTATAAAACTTAGTGAACCTAAAGCAATGTCCAGGGCAGCCAAGGAGGTCCAATGGGGAAGAAAAAAGTGTGGTGTCCTGAAAGGTCCCTGAGATGTTCAGTTACTGGGAGAAGGTAGCCCAGGCTAGACACTCCTAAAGCCAGAAGACAGGGCCCCACAGCTTCCTCAGGCCCTGAGGATGAGCCACTCCTTGACTTTGTCTGCTATTTATGGTACAGTCACTTCCCTACATAAAGCCCTGAAATAGATATGTTGAAGAAACAGCTGGTGCCTCAAGGGAACCTAATAAAGCGTTTGTTTCCAAACAGTCCCTCTCCTCTCTGTCATACTCACTGGCATAAATATTCCACACTTCCTGCTCCTCCTTTCTACACAGCACATTTGCATGAAAGCAGGACCCAGGTCCTTAAGAGCTAACCTTTCCCTGTGGTCACTGCCTGCCTGAAGATGCACCACATGCATGTGAAGTGGCCTGGATGGAGTGATGCTACTTCAGCCTGAGTGTGAGAGACCCGTCCTCCTGATTGATAGAGCCAGGGTGGAGCCCTAGAGAAGGATTCAGGCATTCCAGGGCCTCTCTCCTCCACCTCTGCAAACAAGGCCAAGAGCTGGCACAGCATGCCTGAATCCTTCTCTTCTCCCTGAGAGAGGTTCTCTGGGGTCTTGGGAGGACAGCTGCTGTCAACTAGAGGTGACATTTCAGATTGCCTTTAGGGCCCTTTTGCCTCTGAGACATCCTGTCTCTTTTTTCCAGTGTTTCTAATTTTAAATTGGTTTGTAGTAATTCTACGTACTTATGGGGTACAGTATGATAAGCCAATGCATGTACAGGATGTGTAATGACCAGGTCAGGGTAATAGACAGAACCACCTCCTTGAACATTTATCATTTCTTTGTGTTGGGAACATTAAAAATTCTGTCTGCTAGCTAGTAAGAAATGTTCAGTATCTTGTGGCCAACTCCAGTTACCACGTTGTGCTGAGCATTAGAAATCATTTTTCCGGTCCAGATGTTCCCTCCCTCCACTTCTCCCCCCTCTCACATTTGGTCAGACTGTAGTAACCACTATCTACTCTCTTCTTCTATGAAATCAAACTTTTTAGCATCCACATATCAGTGAGAACATGCACTATTCCTTTCCCTTTGGTCTTTCAGGTTTGTGACTGGACACAGTGTCAGTCTCCAAAAGTGGCCCTAATAAATACATGATGTGATAAAAAAATACAGTGAGCATTTAAATCACACATTGCCCTTAATCCTTCTTAAAATTCTCCCCCTTGCTTCTTTCTTGCCACTTCCTGAAGCAGCTCTGGAGGCCCTCTTTTGTGAATGTCTTTATGAGATATGATAAAAAAATACAATGAATGCTGCTGCCCACTGTCATCCAATGGAACGGCAGACTCATAAAAATATTACTGTGTGTCTTCACCCACCTTCTACACTGGATCTAGTACTGTGCAACTTCTGGCTCTTCTCCAAAGTCAAACTGATCATGAAAAGTCAGCATTTTGAATCAATTGGAGATATCGAGACAGCCAGGATAGTTCAATGAAAAATACTCACGAACGAGGACTCCTAGGACTGGTTCAGAAAGTGGTAAGAATGGTAGGATAAGTTCGAAGCGAAGGGGGTATCTTGAGGGAGATTAATAGCAATATGTCTTAAATTTTTTAAAAAATTTAAGCATAAACCATATTTTTCTATAATACTTCATATATCCTAGGTTGGGTAGCTTTAAGAAGAATTTGTTTCTCAGAGTCTGGAGGCTGGATGGCCATTGCTGGCTGATTTGGTTCCTATCAAAGGCCCTGCTTGCACATGTCACCTTCTCACTGTGTCCTCATGTGATGGAGAGATAGCCGTCTGGATCAAAGTTCACCTTAAAGAACTCATTTAGCCAAAATCACCTCTGAAAAGGCTTGGTCTCTAATACAATCATATTTGGGTTTCAGGCTTCAGCATATGAATGGAGGGTCGCAAACCTTGAGTCTATAACAAATGTGGAGAGTGCTCAGACTGAGCTCTGTGCAGCCCTTCTTTGGGCCCATTGAAGTTTGGTCACTCCTCTCAGCTGCCCTGGACCCTGGCTCTCATCTCCTCCTTGTTGCTAGATCAAGTCCTTGATACCATCAGCTACTGTTGGCAAAGGGCCCTGCTCCCCCAAGGGGCCTGAGGAACTGAGGCCAAGGCAGGTAAGGCATAAAGCGGCCAACTCACTATACAGAGCAGGGACGGGGGCAGGGGTGCAGACCACCCCCCAGGTGAGGCCTGTCAGTGATGAGTGAGCCCCTTCGGGTGGGCATGGGAGCCCTTGTCAGGCACTCCAGAATTCTGAAGTTCCCACCCTGGGCACCAGGATCCTCATACGGGAATGCCATTCAGCTTTTTTGTTCATTGTTGCATACATGCCCAACAATCCAGAATGTTTTCCTTGGAACTGGCCCCTGATCCTGTCACGCTGAGCTTCCTTTGTACTGAGCCAGTGTTGTTTAATGGGGCGGCCTTGATTGTTTTGGAGATAGGCGCCTTTTGGAAAGAGGAGGGGTCTGTGTTGAGCCTTGATGACCTTGGCTGGCTTCCTTTATTTTTTCTGGGAACTCCTTCTTCCCGTGGGTGTCAACTTGAGTTTCACAGAGCTGCAGTGTGCAGCATGTGAGACCCTTGCCCTGGGCAGCCTTAGGGCCTCCATCTTACAAGGCCTCACCTGGGGTCCTGGAGGAGACCACGGGGGAGTTGGGGGTGGAGGCCACACTGCCTGGAAAGCCAGGATGTGAGCTGCCAGTCTGCCTTACATCTGGAGACGGAGACATATCAAATTCCAAATGCGATTCCAGGGGCCTCTGGCTTTCCTCTGCTAGGCACGGGCTCTGGGCCCCTTCCTTCCTGTCCCCAACTGGCCCTCCTCCCCTGGCAGCCCTTCCTCTCTCAGGGAAGGTCAGCTTTCCATGGAAGAATGACCATTGTTCCTTCTCAAGGAAGAGGCCTCCCTCTCCAGTCCCTTCTCACATCCTGCTCCTGGATTCCAAGTTCTGCTTAAAGCCAATGTTATTAGGGCCTTATTTCCATCTTTCCTCCACCTCTGCCTTCCCTTGCTGGACCCACTGGCCTCTGATGCTTCTCTGCCAACTACCTGGCCGACAGACTCCCTTCATGCCCCCCAGCATGGCCCTTACCTGGAATTTACCTGGATACCTCTGCCATCTCTTTCCCCACCTTTGCATTCCACCGATCTCTGGCACATTTACCCAGGACGTAGTGTGAGAGACAGAGGGCCCCGAGTTCCTTCCAACACATCTCATTCAAATGGGCAATTTTCCCGGGGACACAGACTCCTCTAGAAGCTATGACTCTCTCCCATGCTTCATGGCAAGGTGAGCGTCAGGTTGTGTACTTATCATGGACTCATGAGGCCACCTACCTGCTTTCAGCTGCCCCTCCCTGGAGGATCATTTCTTTTGGATGACTTATTCCTAGGGATAGACCCGAATCCTTCCCCACCCAAGGCCTGAGAACACTGCTGGCTGACATCCTTCATATCTTTGGCAGTCAAATACTATTTTCTATTTGCCTCTGGAAGTTCAGTTCTCTCTGAACCCTGAAAAAAATCTACTGGGATCATTTTCCTGCACATAAGTGTGCACAGTGGGGAGCAGAACCCCAACACACTGGAGTCTAACACCCACCTTGCAAGGTAACTCTGAGGGCATACCTTCCCTCATCAGACACCCTGCCATGCCCAGCTTCTCTCTCCTCTATGCTCCTGCTGTGAGTGACCTGGAAAGAATATCTGGAACAAAGGTTTTGGCACAGTTGTCTTCTGCTTCCTGCCTATCTCAGCCCCACTACTGTCACCAGAAAGAGAGCAAGACCTGCCTTGAGGACTTTGTGATCCCTGGGGCTGTGAAATGTCCAATAGGTCACATTTTATTTAATGTTGAAAGAAAATCATGAATGTGTCCATGCCTGCACAGGGGTGCCTGGGTACGCAAAGGGTCTGGGTGTGAGCCCATCATTCTTTACCACTTGGCCCTTACCCCAGGAGTTTTCTGTCACCTGCACTTCTGACAGTGCCAGGAGACTCCGTGCTTGCCAGACCCAGGACCAAGAGAAAGGGCGTGTGTAGGTGTTTCCCTTCCTGTAAGGCCTGGGTCTAGTTGAAGACTGCAGATGTCTGGCTTATACTGCAAGCTTGCAGAGTGAGCCTGCGCTAGTGAACCAATGTCATCAGTGTTTTTATTTGTTACCTAGTGTGACAAGAGCATCACTTCTTGGGGCTTCACTGAGGACCAAGTGAGATGACAAGTTGACCATATGTGGAGCCACAGCCAGCATATGGTATACTCACAGGGGAGCCCTTAATATCAGCACTCATTGTCTTGAGAGTCATGACAATATGACAGATCTGAGGACTGGATGCCATAACCCATGTACAGCCCTGAGGGACTCCATTGCTACTATTAACTTGTTACTATCTGTAGAGACAGGAGAAGTGACCCAGGGGGTGACCCGAGGTGACCAGGGAAACTTGACCTCTGAAAAAATGTCATCATTTTACTGAGTTCCTGAACTTACTACCACCAGGTTAGGAAGTTGTTTTCAAGAACAAACACCACAGTCCAGTTGTCAGATCCTGGGTAATTAGGGAGGCTCATTGACCCAAGTTATCTGCACCTTTCATACACTGACCCTCAAATCCCTGGAAGCCTGGAGGGGATAAAAGTTCTTCTGATCTCTAGATTTGGGTCCTGGGGAGCCTCTGCCCCTCTGACTCACATCTGTCTTTGGTCTCTTGCACCAGAGAAAGGATGTGGGACCTGGCCAGGTGAACATGCATGCCAGGTGAACAGCTGTTACCCACATGCATACAAATATCTCTGGAAGGTCTTTCCTCTCTAAACTCAGAGCTATGGCTGTCGCCTGTAGTACAAGAATTCAGTGACATAAGCCAGAGACCTTAGGACTGGGTCCCTGGTCAAAAAAACACATTGGCTGAGTATTCTTCAGGAACAAATGATCCAGTGGTCTCTTGGGGACACTACGGTCAGAGGGGACATGTGCCAGATGTCATCACCATCAGGAGATACTGCTCTGTGGGCCCTGGATCAAGTGGGTTGGACACATGCAAACATCCACCAGGCATGGGGTACACAGGATGACAACATAGGGAACAGGGAATGTGGAGAAGGGGCCAGGCATCTACAGGGCAGGCTTTGCATCCACAGAAGCTCAGCCTGGTTAGCTTTTCTGTTCCTTGGTAAAATTTGTTTAAACCAACAATGGTCACCTATATGATATATTTTTCCAAAAATTTCTAATCCAGTCTCCTAGGTTACTTTTTTTCAGTTTTGAACTATCAATTTAGCTTAATTTTCCACTCCCTAGATGAGAACTTATCCTCCCCACACCCCAAAATGTCTACAACCAATTGCATAGAGTTGGATGATAAAGCTTTAGCAAAACTATAGATACATTATGAACTCTGTCCTAGAAACAGAAGAGCATCCAGGCCTGTGCATTTGTAGGGTGGTTTTTGTTCTTGTTTGTTTTTTACATTTTTTGTTTGTTGATTTGTTTTTGTGGTACAAATCAAGGCCTATGTGCCCAGCCCTTCTTTTATCTTTTATTTTGAGACAGAGTTTCACTAAGTTGCTAAATTGCCCAGGCTGGGCTCCAACTTGTAAACTTCCTGCCTCAGACTCCCAAAACGCTGAAATTACAGGCATGCACCACCACACCAGCTTGTAGAATGGTTTTTAAATTTAGCCTGTGGCCTCGAGGTCAAAGCAGATGCAGAAAGCTAAATTCACTCCCGAGTCTAGAGGGAAGACACTAAGATCAGCAAAGAGCTAGGAACTACACCATCCCACAGCAGGAAAAGGCATTTGGAGGCTTGATGGTGACCACTACGAAGCGGCCTTGAGCAGGATTTAAATTAACAAATTGGCTTTTCATGTTTACTTGTGAGTCTGTCCAAGGCCTAGGTTCCTTGTCTGGAGATGGGCGGTAGACTCATAGTAAGTGAACCTCTGTGAGTCACTAATCCCTACTCAGGTTTATAATGGCAGATGAAGCCAGAAAGCCTCAAAAGATAAGACAAGATCACAGCCAAAGACACCTGCATCCAACCTCAACTAGATAAAGACTATAGCCTCAGGCATCTCACTCGTGGGTGGATTAACTTAATACCTTACTTGGAGAAGTCCTTGAGTGGTTCTGACCTTCTAGAATACTCCCCTCTCTTCTTTCCATAACTAAATAAATTTGGGCCACCCAGAGAAGGTCGTGGTCTTAGCCCTGAGAGAATCAAATTCTGTGAGAGGGCTTTGATTCTCCTGGAATCCTGAAATCATTCCGTTTGCCTCTTTTTATTTAGCCTTTCCTGTACAGTCATTTGGGAGATTGCAGACCTAATCAACCTTCAATAACTAAGGGATATTATTAACCCGGTAGAGGTTTTTCCACCTGACAGGGACAGTGACCCCAAAAGCACACTTTGGTAGGACATCAAGAACACAGTTGCCCTTATCAGTTACCGCTTGAAGACAGGCGTGGTGTTAACTTAGTGCAGGAGTCATTGCTGGAGGAAAAAATTACCTGAATATAAGGATGAGGGTTTCTGTCTTCCTGTCCCTTGCATCCCATCCAGAGACTGCCCTCCCACTAGAGCCCTTCCCCAGCCAAGTGACTGATGCTATACCAGCAGGTACGGACAACCTCAGAAGAAGAAGCTATGCTTCCTTCCCAGTAGGAGTCTCCCACGATGGCCCAGGACTGTGGCAAATGAAAAGCTTCTCTCTCCACCCACAACCCTTCTCACTCTGAGAGGCCTTTCATCCTTCACCTCCAATCACCTGCTGTCTCTACTGGTTATTATTTCCTGCACAAATTCCTCCTACAAGCCTAATTCCAAATCCTGACTGAACTCCACACCTCCCCACTTCCCTCTCCCAGTCCTTCCCCTCCTTCTCTGCTCCCCTCATCCTAGAACTCGCCACCTAACCTGCAAACTTGACCTGAGTTCTGTCCTTGCTCCCTCTTCCTCTACCTACTCTCCCTGCCTCATTTCCTGGTCTCAGTACCTGTCCCTCACCTTTGTTGGGTCTCCAATCCTCCCTTATATTAGTCCAGCTTCCATTGCTATAACAAAATAACCAAGGCAGGGTGCTTCATAAAGAAAAGAGATTTGTTTAGCTCAAAGCCTGGGATGTTCAAGAGCATAATGTTGGCTCCAGCAAAGGATCCCCAAGTCTATCAGATCACAGAAAGTAGCATCATAATAAGGCCCATGCAAGAGAGAGAGATTCCATAGAGTGACAAGAAGCCACGGAGAGGTGGGGCGGGGCCGGTCTTGCTCCTTTTTAACAACCCTCTACCTTAATTCCGTCTGCAGACAGGATCCACAGTGACCAATGACCTCCCACTAAGCCCCACTGAGGACCAAATTTCTAAAAGTTGAATCTTCCAGGGATACAGGCAAAGCAAACCAGAATGTCCCCACCCCCCAGGCTTGTGTTTCTCTGTGCTCTCCTAGCAAAGCCACCAGAAAGCCCCTTTTTAGGGCCCAAAGCTCACTGGGAGGGTGAGCTCTTCTGTCAATAGTGTGTGCCTTTCCCTGCCAGCAACAAAGCCTGGTGCCCCAGGGAGAGGCAGCACCAAAGCAGGTAGGACCAGTGTCCTCCAAGACTCGGCTGCTCATTTTTGGGGTCAGCGCAGAGCCCAGGGATCTCCAGTGCCCTCATGGCACACGGCCCAGCACAGAGGCAGAAACCAGTGAGGCGAGTTGTGTCACCCACACTATGCTGCCAACTTATGGCTCTACTGGCTTATTTTCAATCAAAAATCTCCCAGTGAGAACGTCACTCTCCGGCCAGGACAGGGAAAGCTTCATGTGTTAACAATAGTCCTGGTATTTGTGCTCAGGATGACCTCAAAGACCTTTTGTTCTTCTGCTCTGGATGCTTGGTGATCACTGCGTGAACAGAACTCAAGGACAAAGGCCTGGACAGGACAGCCCTGGCTGAGCACTCGGGTGTGGAGGACACATACCTTTCTCAAGATGCCAGGACTCGGGCTGCTTGCTGTGTCATTTTGGCACTGACCCCCTGGGCTCCTTTCCCTGCTACACTCCCATCTGCTTCTGTCTTAAATGGAAACAGCGAATCTCCTGGGGGGACTGCGGAAAGTTCTTGTCTCAAGCACCCGCAATGATGAAGTGTGTGCTGTTCACGGAGCATTGTAGACCATGGAAACTGGAGCCATCATAGCTCAGATGAGGCTTGGACCTGGCCTTGGACCAAGGAGAGGGGTTATTGCACACTCTGCTCCAAAACAGGGTGTTCTGTTTTATGCATGTGCGTGTAGTGGTGTGCACCCAAAATCCCAGCACTCTGAGGGGCTATGGCAGGAGGACTGCAAGTTTAAGCCCAACCTGGGCAATTTAGCAAAACCCTATCTCAGAATAAAAAATAAAGTAGGGTTGGGATGGAGCTCAGTGCAAAGGTCCTGGGTTCAATCCTCAGGACTGCACAAACAAGCAAACAAGAAAAAGGAAAAGAAAAGTCACTAGAGATCAAGAGAGTTAAACTGTGGTTTAAAATAAAACAAAGCAAAATAAAGTGATTGATTAGTAAGTCAAAGTGCCAGAACTATCTGGAGGGCAGGTTCTAAGCAAAGAGATGCACAGGGAGAGGAAAGTGAGGTGAAGCGAGTGGAATGTCCATTCAGCATGGAGTCTGCAAAGTGACACCGAGAAGACAGCCCTGAGGAGCCGAGCCCCTCCTTTTATCCTCATTTGATGGTCTCTGTTGGCTGTGCTCAGGGTAGAAGGGGCTATGCCCAGGGTTCTCCCAAGGAGTAGGCTGATCAGTGCACAGAGTGAAGTTTATAGAATGCATTAAAATGGCAGGAGGCCAGGCAAGGTGGCACATGCCTATAATCTCAGCACTCTGGGAGGCTGAAGCAGGAGGATCAGAAGTTCACAGGTAGCCTGGGCAGCTTAGTGACTTAGCAAGACCCTATCTCCAAAACAGCAGGGCAGGACTGGGGATGTAGCTCAGGACAAAGGTCCTGGGTTCAATCTCCAGTACAAAAAAAAAAAAAGGCAGTAAGATGCCAAAGAACCATGGTGGACAGAGCACAACCATGGGCTTGCATTTCTCCTACTCCAGTGTCTCTAAAATATCTTACTCACTTAGTTGGAAGAGGTCTCATGGCCAATCACTCCCCATCTTCCCAGTCATCTTAGGTCACCAACCCAGAAATGCAACCCAGAAATGGGGGGTACACTCCCAAAAATAACTCTCCTAAGAACACTGGTTTAAAAGTCTGTTATGATACAGACGTAACCTGTGGTGTTGCTTGGAGAGTCTCTGACCTCTGATGTTAGGTTGGCCCCTGGATAGGGGCGTGGAAGCCTCAGAGTTCAGGATCTCTTGATGCCCTGGGAGAGCTGCTCTACAGTTTCCATACTGCTGCCTCCAGAGCACTGTATTTTCCTTGTACTCCTCAGTTCCTTGAAAATTCCTTACAAATCCCAAATCTTTGTGGTAGACCAGTGAGAACTCACTGGCCTGCTGCATAGGCTCAGAGCTGTATGTGGGAATGCCTCAACTCTGCAAAGAGTTTCTGGGCCTGTGTGAAGTGAGTGGTCTCTCAAGAGCTCCCGGGTCCCCTGTTCTGCTCTGCTCTCTCTCGCATCCCTACAGCCTCCCCTTGGGCAGAGTTTCCCTGTGTAGACAGCCCCAGGTTGTGCACCCTGGCCCTGGCTACTGTTATCGGCTGGTCCTGAGGACCAGGTGTCTTCTGGATGTCACTACCCAAAGTCCCCTCAGGGTGCCCTCATTTCTGTTGAAGGCTAATCAGGGCCCAGCCAGCAGCCTTGAAGCCTTGCTGACCTCAAAGAGCCGCAGAACTCTGCAGATTCCCTGCCTCCACATGCCCTCACTTGAATGGCCTCTTCACCATCCCTCTGCTGTCCCTGTGTTGGCCCTCATCATAGGAGGCCTACTCCAGTATCTGCCTCGGTCCTCTTGTTGTAGGCAACTAAGTTAGATAGAAATATTATAGGCAGTCAGATAGGGCTAGGCCCTCGAGGGAGCCAGTGCACAAGAAGAGATGCCTGAAACTGTGGGAAGACAGGCATCTCCAGCTGAGAGCCAGACTCAAGACAAAAGATGAAACAAATGCACCCACATACCTCCCTAAGGATAAACATCAGGGATTGATATTCTAAATAGGTATCTATCGCCTTGAAGAAGCCAGGAAGAGTCACTAACCCAACCTCCTATAGGAAAATCCCGCTTGCTTTCTATGTGACTCACTTCTCTATTTGATCCTGATTTAATCAATTTTACCTGAGAAATTATGCTTCTAATCTTCCTGGTTGACCACAGTTTTGTCCCACCTCATGCCCAACTTGCAATTTCCCATTTTGCCCACCTTGGACCCACCTCGTGTGGATTTGCTACACAAAAATCCCTGGAAAAGGCAGGTTCCTTGGCAACCCATTCAGCACCCCTTCTGTCTCCCTCAGGCAGAAGCTTTCTTTCCCTAATTAATATATTCTGCTCCTAACCTCTGTTGTTCCTAAAATTCATTCTTTGGTTTTAGAGAACACGAACTAGTACCAGATACCTAGCAGGTTGGGAGTTTCTTTCCCCTTTATTACTGTGACATCTCACCTCCACCACCCTCCACATCCCTCTGCAGGGCAAGCCCCCCTCAGCAAGCCCTCTGGGAAAGCCCTTCACGGCTTCCATGACTCCAAACCCAGCCAGCCACCTTTCCAACCTTCTCTTCTGTCGTGCTCCGCTGCAAAGCCTCAATATTACCAGGCTGTCCTGAGCCACACCCTGGACATTTCTTTCACACACCTATGTTTCTGCATTAGCACCTCTTGGAAATGCCCCCACTTCCCATAATCTGCCTATTCAGCACCCGTTGGAGCAGACTCCAGGCCACCCTAGCTGCAACCTTTCCTGGGTTGCCAGCAATTGTCCCTGTTCCCCTGATATCTGTCACTCACTTCCTATGTGTCTACCACTATGCATATCACAGGGGGATAATGTCTAAGGCACTAAACAGGCCTCAGTTTCCTGGTCTTCCTAGTATCCACTGCCAAAGCCTCCATACCAGCTCATCTGCAAATGCAAAAAATGTTTCCCATTCCTCAAAACACTACCTTCCCGATCATTGTTGGAGTTGATAAGCACATTTATGAAGTTCAGGATGAATGGTGGTCCCCAGGACAGCTGGTGCCAACCTGCCTGGGCCCTGCCCTGAGATCCCAGCAGCTAGATTGCTTCCCATCATTGTACACACTAAGTTTGAATTCTTGGATGGCAACTCTTGGATAGACTTTGTTTCCTTGCAGCTGAAAACCAAAGCAATTTTGATTTGCAAAACCAGGCTGCACTGAGAAGAATTTCTCTGGGAATTCCACAGGATAGGTTTTGTACACAAGAGCCAGCCTGGAGCTATGTTTCATGCTATGAAATCTAGTATGTGGGGAAGGGATGGACGTGACAGTGGTGACCTCACCCCAAAAGTAGGAGGCACCAGGAGACCGAAGAAAAGAAGCCACAGAGAATCAGGAATGTTCTCCCAGTTCCACCCCCATGCCCTACCTGGCTCCCAGTGAAAACACCAACACAAGTCTCAGAGCCCAGGGTGGATAAGAGGGCAATGGGAAGAGTTAAATCCTCAAATACCACTGACTGTACAAGGGGTGACTGAAAAGTAATGTGAGTGTTTAATACACTTTTAAAAATTTATTACAGTGAAAGACACATTGCCATCAATTCAAAATACTCACATGCCTTTGTTTCCAATACTCTTATCCCATTTTTCTTGCCACTTTCTGAAGCAGTTCTGGAAGTCCTCTCACGAGTGTCTTCACAAAGTGTGTTCAAAAATGGTGCTGCTGAGTGTCCTCCAATAGAAAACTAGGCTGGAAAAAATGTTACAGCGTGTCCTCGTCTACCTTTTCTCTTGATCCGGCACCATGTAGTCTCTGGCTCTTCCTCAAAGTCAAAATGGTTATGAAAGGTAAATGTTTTGAATTGATTCAGGACACTGAGGCAGCCGTGACAACACAATGACAGATACTCATGAAAGGCCTTCCAGAACCACTTCAGGGATGGCTTGGTGGAAGATGCGGAATTACTGTATCTCGAACCTGGTGGAGTAAAAAGAGTGTGTTATTATTTCTTTGTGCTCCACCTTCCTGTGGGGGAGAGAGGAGTCCTGAACAGCACTAGCCTATCTTCTCCCAGGACTCCCCACTTCAATACGCTACCCTGCAGAACTGAATGGAAGGAGCTGTTCCCCTGGCCACACTCAGCTGGAAGGAGGTCAGACGCTTATAGAGGAGGTGGCTCCCTGCCCTTTGGGAGGGCATGTGCCTCACATGTGCACCATAGTGGACCCCCCACAACTCTACCTGGGCCAGTTGACTGGCCTGGCAGCATTCCTCAGCCCAGTTTCCTCCTCTGTAAATAAGAAGAACAATGCTGCCTCCCTGGCAGGGTTGCTGAGAGAGTTGAGTGAAATGGCAGAGTTGGCTATCATAAGTGGATGGAACATTTGTGTCTCCTCAAGATTCCTAGGTTAGAACTCTCACCCTCACAATGACGGTGCGAGCAGATGAAGCCTGCAGCAGGTGATGAAACCAGAGGGTAGAGTCCTAATGAAAAGGATTAGTGCCCTCATAAAAAGCACTAATGAGAGAGCAATCTCAGTCTCTTTTACCATGTGTGGACAAAGTTAGAAGGTGCTATTTGCTACCCAGAAGAACCCCAACTTATCCCACCAGTGCTGACATCTTAGACGTCCAGCCTCCAGAACTGTGAGAATAAACGTCTGCAGTGTGAGCCACCTCATCTTGGGCACTTTACTATAGCAGCTAGGGCTGACTGAGACACCCTCTTTCTTTAGCGGGGATGATGGGAAATAGAATGATTAGCAAACCCATGGGACCCTACCTTAGACAGCTTTTGCATTCTGGGGTGTCCCCTCAGGTCTTCAGTAGATGACTTCTCACCAAGGTCTTGCTGGCGGGGCCAGTGGCTCATAAGCAGGCCCACATTATTTTATCCTCACACTGGGGTACCAGGATTTGTGGTGGGATGCTTCTTCTTCCCCCACCATCCTGCCAGGCCAGTATCGGGCAGCAGTGCCCATCTGGTTCCTCTGTACACAGCTTCACTGGAAGCACAGGGCCAAGAGTCTGGATACCAGCCCAGAACATTCCAGCTTACAACCTCCAGGTCCCTGGGCTTGAGGCCGACAGTGAAGTGGCCATGGTCTTGTGGCAACAGCTTGTCCTGTTCCATTAATCCCAGTCCTGCCAGGAGGCCTTCCTCCCTGCTGGCCTGTCAGTTGTCATGGTTACGGTGCATGATCTGGGGCTGCAGCATCCTCTTCACAGGTCAGTATTT